AAAGAGCTTATAGGGTCGGAGGTTCCGGTGGAGCAGCAGTCCATAGTGCGGCGACTTTGGTATGAGGCGCACTCTCATGCTTTAGTCGATTTGGAGGCGCGAGCTTCCAGAACGGGAGAATCCAGCCCGAGGGAGATGCCACTGGCTGAGCGCCTCACAAGGCTCAAGCGCCAACGGGGCGAGCTCAAAGGATTGGAGCTCGACGTGCATACGGAGCCGGGACATGCGCTGGTGGATCGAGTGCAAGCGATGCTCGACAGCGCTCAGGTGCTTCACATTGCCCCGGACAAGTGCATCTCCAGGCATGACGAGATCCTGGGTGACAAATCGGAACAGAAGCTGTCTTTGGAGGCCGATGGCAATATCAAGATCACGAAGCAGGCTTCCATGCTCCGCTGTGAGACCACAGGTGAGCTGAAGCTCCGGCGCTGCTTCCTCAGGCGGGCGCTAGCCTTCGATCAGGTGGGGCTTGCAAGCTTCACCGCTTTGGAGTCGTGGCACAATAAGATGTTTCAAGCATTGCTAGATGCGCCGCCGGCAGGGTATCGCTATACCACGGTGCAGCAAATTTTGGCTGCCGACCAAAAGCTATGGCAAGTAGTGGCCCAGGAAAGCCGGGGTGACATTTCCATAAGTGTCGGTCTTCCAGCTCCGCTTGATAAACACATCGTCGCAGCTTCGAACAATCAGTTTGTGATGTCGTGCTTAACTCACCTCCCCAAGCCGCCTGAGGCCCTAGTGCAAACCTGGCGGCCGCACAAGGGGGGCAAAGGTGACAAGGGTGAGAACGGCAAAGGTGGTAAAGGTGGCAAAGGTAAAAACAAGGGCGGCAAAAACAATCAGTCAAATGCTGAGTCGAGCCCCAACACATCGCTGAAAGAGCTGCTCGACAGCCTCCCGGAAGGTTGTGTGCGTGCAACAGAGGAAGGTCGTTTCATATGCCCATTCTTCAACAAGGGCATCTGCCGCTTTCAGAAGCGCAAATCTTGCCGCTTTGGAAAACACGTGTGCAACTTCAAGGGCTGTGGAGCCGAGAAGCCGTACACAAAGTGCCGGCATTGACTAGGCAGCCCCGCGGCTGCCAATGACAGTTCTCCAAACTTGAATTCAGGAGTGGATTGTGGCCCTGAAGCCGTCGCGAAGCGCCTTGTGCAGCAGAGTCGTCCCATCACGGCTGCCCAACTGGTAGACTTGTTTGATGCTTTGCCGCGTGATGAGTGTGATCGCGACGCTGCGGGTGTCTCTTTTTCGGCAGGGCTCTACGCCAGAGTCAAGGTAGGTCTTCGCAAGGCCTGCAAGCTTTTTCCATGGACGGTGCAGGCAGTGAACAGGTTTGTGGCCTCTTTGCTCCGCCAGGCCGTCTACACGAGTTTTGCTTTATTCTCTGAGGTGCAGACCCGAGAACATCGGGACACGCAGAATTCTTTCTTGCCAAATTATGTCATTCCATTAACAAGCTTTGAAGGGGGTGAAATCACCGTCCATGAGTCCGAGCCGCCAGTGCAACTTCATGTTTCGAAGGGACCCGTGCAATTTTGTGCCAGACATTACCGACATTCGACGGCCCCGTTTCAAGGGCGCCGCATGGTCCTCGTGCTCTTTGCTTTGCAAGCTGCTACAAAGGCCACTTCAGATGATCAGGCTTGCCTTCGCCGGTTGGGGTTCCCTTTGCCGTCAGTCAAGCAGTTGAATTCGACGACCGTATGCCCCTCAGTTTCGGTCCCTTTGGATATATCCCAGCGTGCTCTTCTTTCCCTGATTCCACCGTCGGCTTCGGAGGGCTGCAACTCCCTGGATGCACCGGGCCCCTCACAAGCCAAGCCACCCGTGGTGGCCGAATGCCTCACTTCAGCCGGGCCGATTTCTGCTGCGGCTATGCTCCTGGGATGGGATGCTGCGCCTGTCGGCCCCAAGTGTCTCGCTGCCGCTAAAACCCCAGTCATAAGTCTGGATGTGTCTGACAGTTCTCAATTGCAGGACTTGCTCAATTTCGACAGTACTGTCATTGTGGATTGGTGGCATTTTCCACTTTTTCTTAAGTCATGCAGCCGTGCACGCGGCACTGCCCCCGCCTGTCGTGACGCTGACAACATCTTTGGCTGCCCATCCCTGTCCGATTCTGCAGCAGCCCAGGTCCTTCATGATAACCAGCTGTGCCAGGCTGCGACATCCATCCTTTTCCGAGCTTTTGAGTCCAAGGCCCTGGTTTCTCTAGTTGGGCCAGCCCGCAGCTGGTGTTGGAGTGTGCTGGCCAAGTGCGTCAAAACTCGAGGGCCCTCGGCTTTCGTCGATTGGTACTTCAACCTCGCTGACCAAGAGTTGGACACTTGCATGTACGGCTCGCCCTTCGTGACTTCCTTGCTTGTCAAGGCGAGCTCTCATGCATTCCATGGCTTAAGCTTGTCCTGTGATAAAAGCCACTCACATCGCGCTTGGACGCCTCCGCATCCGACGGTGAATCATTTCTGTGACATGTCTTTGCCCAGCCAGCTTTGCGAGGCCTTGTGTTCCAAAGCTACCCAAGCCCGCCTTTCCCCTAAAGCTCAAAGGCCCGCCGAGCTGCGATGCCGTCGTTTGCGTGCTCAGGTTCGCTCGGCTGCCGCCAACCAACCTCACTACCTGCCGTCCTTAATCCCCGAGTTTAAGCTTAAGCTGCCCCTCGCCCAGGTCCCAGCCACTGCCGACTTCAAGTTGTTGTCGCGTACTCCAGGCTCTGGCCCGGGGGATTTCGGTGAGCCGGAGTCCGCAACCAAACGGTTTAAGGCTAAGGGTGGTGCTAGCCGGGGTTCTTTTGACAAGGATGCTGTTTCCCTTGACATGGCCGGTATCTACCACACGATGGAAGAACACTTGGAGCTTGCTTGTGCGCTTTCTTGTCCGCTGACACCAGTGAGCGGGTGCCGGACCAAATTAGGAGAAACATCTTCGCGGTGCTTACTGTCTTTAGGGGTTTCGCTTGGTCTGGGGGAACTCTGGAGCGGAGTTCTCGCCGTGGAGAACAAGCCCGGCCGTCTCGAGAAGATTTCGCAGATGCTCCGGACCATTGCCTCAGGGAAAGATGTCTCCAGGTCAGATGTCGCCTCCTTGCATGGCCTGATCAACTTTGCAGGTGGCCTGATCCTGGGGTTTGAGTTGAAGCCCACAGCCCGAATGCTTTCGCGAGCTTTGTCAGGACCCTTCCTTGGCAACACGTCTGAGCTGAAGCAGGCTTGTGCTCTTGCTCTGGACGTCATCGCGCAGTGCCGTCCGAAGAGGTGCCCAGCATCGATCTCCCCGCCGATCGTCTTGTATACCGATGGGGCCTACGAGAAAGGAATCGGGACTTGGGGAGCGGTCTTGATAGATCAGCCCTCAGGTGCCAGGTGGGCCTTTGGGGGCACTGTTGACTCCTCCCTTGTGGCGCATTGGAAGCGTGAGGCTGGCGAGCAAGTGATATGCCAGGTGGAGGCCTTTGCTTTAGCGATAGTTCTTTACGGGATTCGAGGCTCAGTGAAAGGGAGATCGATCCTTGCTTTCATCGATAACGATCCTTGCCGCTACGGATTTATCAAGCGATATTCACCCTCTACAAGTCTTCTGCGAGTGATTTCGCTTGTCGCTCTCCTGGAGGGATCTTTGGAGGCCCTTCTCTGGTTTGAGAGGGTCCCCTCGAAGAGCAACCCGGCCGACCTGCCATCCAAGCCTCCGGCTCAAACCTGTTTCTTTTGTAGGGGTAGGGAGTTTTCGAACGTAGTTTTGCCCCCACCAGCGGGGACTCCAAACGTAGCTG